GACCGTGGGGTCAGCCAAGCCTGCACGCCTGGCAGGGCCACAGGCAGGACACACAGGCGGCCATGGCCCTGCGGCAGCCCCCACCCCTGCCCCCGGCCTGCTGCCTGGGGCTTCCTGGGCCCTGGGCGAGGCCCAAGCCCGAGACCTTCGCCCTCAGGGCGCGCTCTGGTGCAGTCGGGCCTGCTCTCGGGGCCGGGGGCCTCAGACACCTCTCGCTTGGCCACCGGTCGGCTGACGGTCAGAACTGGCCACACAGCCACGGCCCGTCCTCTGCAGTCCCCAAGACAGACCCCGCTTGAGGTCCCCGTCGGGGTGCACCTGCAGGCCCAGCCCCTCCGGACAGCCGCCTCCGTGGGCACGGCACAGCCCGGCCCGGCAGCCCGGGGCCTCGCAGGGCCCCGTGGACGGCGGCAGCGGGGGGCCGGGGCAGGGCGCCTGGCAGCTCAGCAGGGGCGGCGCCGAGAGGAGAGTGGGACAGTGGCGTCTGCAGCACCCCTTTAATCCCAACAGGCTCCAAGTGGGGCGCGGGCGGGGACTCGCCCTGATGCCGCCTCCCTTGCGGCAAGTGGGGTGCCGGGCCACAGCTGTGGAGGAAGCAGCTCTGGTTTGGGGCAACCTGCCCAGTCCCCAAGCTGCCAAGCGCTATCAAATCCCCGGGGCTGGGTCCCCCAGTACAGCCCTGGCGTCGGGGCACCCAGGGGGTCCGTGCCAAGGCCGCCCCTTGCACGGCGCTCGGCCGCTTCTCGGTTCGGGGGGCTCCCCGCCGCCGTCCAGGGCCCCCCGGGCAGCACAGGCCCCGGCCCCGCGCCGAGCCGCCATCGCCCGCCGTGCCGGGGGCAGCTAGAGCCCCGTCAGGTCCACGATGGCCTTGATGAAGACGGTGTCGTCCCGCACGTAGGAGTTCTTGGCCTCCATCTTGGAGACGGGGCAGAAGAGCGGGCAGCCGCTGGCGATGTTCATCTCGCTGACCGGCCTCTGGAAGGACGAGGACGTCACGTCGGGCCGGAAGGCGTCGATCACGTGCTCTCGGTGGTTCTGGTCCAGCAGCATCAGCGTCACCTGCGGCGGCAGAGCGGCGACGGTGGCGCCCAGGCCCACCAGGCTGCACCCCGCGGGCCGGCGCCGGCCGTCCCGGGCTCCCACCTTTTGGTTGAAGGGCCAGCGCAGGAGGGCGTCGTGGGGCCCCTTCATCACCACGAAGAAGAGGGACAGGTGGGTGCCGCGGCCGGTGCCGTCCCCATTCAGGTAGGCGCGCAGGCACATCTTGTAGCCGTACCTGCTGGTGTAGAAGGCTGGGGGGCGTGGGGGGTGTGTGTGTGTGTGTGAGAGCGGGTGGTCGGCGGCCGGACGGGGCTGGCCCGCAGGGTTCATGCTTTGAGTTCTTTCCCATGGTA